GCACCCTCCACAGTCTTGTCTTTTCATTGTCTTCTGCATTCGTGGCAGAGAGCGTGTGTGTGTGTGCATGAGAGACAGTGAGCAATACGAGCACCCTCCCCAGGGCTGGTCATGCCGCGATCCCTCCTCCTGAGATATACATGCTTGCGCATGTTTTCAGCATGTTTCAGGTCCCACTGGGGGTCTGCACCCGTGGTCAGCACGTGACTTCAAGCACTGCAGCTCAGTGTGCTGCTCAGTGTCCCCCCCACCCCCACTGTGCTAGCCACCATGTGACTGAGGCTGGGCCAAAATCCATGTTTTCTGTTTGTTTAGTTTGCTATAGGGTGCATGTACTCGTTGGAGAGAGAGACAGAGAAAGAGAGTGAGAAGTCACCTTCTGGGGAGATTGCCACTCTGCAATCCCTTCTCCTCTACTCTCCTCTTGGGGTTTTGGGCACACACACACATGGACCTGGCATGATTTACAAGCTGTTGGGTTTGGGACTTGAAACATACAATTGGTATGGAAATCCAACTGCCTTAACCTCCATGCCACCTGCTGGCCCTTCAAATTCATAATTTTATGTGAACTTCAGGGATTTAAGTGTTGTCTACTATTTGAGTTACCTACTACAGAGTAACAAATCACCTTAAAACTTAGAAAGTAAAAATCCCAACGATGCATTCTTTCAGTGATTCTGCAGTGAGTGGTTCTGCTCCATGGGGGTATTGGCTGTGGTCGCTCACATGGCTGCATTCAGCCAGGAGCTGGACAGGGCTTCACTCACGGGGTGGTTGGCATGGCTGGGGGTGTGGCTGGATCTTGCCACCTGGTGTCTAGACCAGGCTTCCTTCTTGAGTAACTTGATGTCAAGAAAGGTGAAAATGAGGGCTGCAAGACCTCCGTGGCCCAGGCCTAAAGTCCTGTTACCCTTCCTCTGCATTCTGTCGCTCAAGCCAAGCCATGCATCCAGCCAACATCACGATGCGGAAGCATAAACTCCGCCCCTTGATGGAAGGCCTCGCTGCGTACATGGCAACAGGAGGAATTATTGGCAGTCTTCTCTGGGGATAGTCTGCCGCATCAACTAACTTATTTATTTTATTTCATTTATTTTTTTATTGCCAGAAGGTGCATGCACTCACCAAGGAGAGAGAGAAAGCATTCCCCACTAGGTGATGTCACAGTCCTTTTCCTACAGGGCTCCATCCATCGGGAGTTGCAGCATGCATGCACACACACCCAGTGTGTCTCTCAAGCTAGAGGGGCCAGGACCTGAAACCCAACTAGCCATGTAGAATCCAGGCACCTGTGCACAAGAGTGCTGCAGCGCTAGCCCAACTGACACTTTTAAAAAACATCATATCGGGGAGCAGCAGGTGGCGTGGTGGTTAGGGTGCTGGACACTCCCACATGGCCAACCACAGTTCGAGTCCCAGGTCTGGTGGCTTGCTTTCTCACTTTCTCTCTCTCTCTCTCTCTGTGTGTGTGTGTGATCAAATTAAAAAGCAAATGAATGAATAAATGAAGTTAAATAGATAATTTAAAAATAAATTTAAAAAAATCATATCTGCAAGTCAGTTTGGCCCAGGGTTACAGTTTCTATTGGAAATGTCTAAGGAATTCACCTAGAAATCCTTCATGACCAGGGGTTTTTTATGGCTAGAGGTGGGGGGAATGCAGGGGATAGAATCTGGGCTTTCTCTGCTGTTTCTATGGCTTCTGTTCACCACAGAAGGATGAAGGAGCTGGGCACCCCTCACGCCTGCCGGTTACTGCTTCCTATGAACCTGCCACAGCACTGTTTCCACCTGTCAGCCTGAATCCCAAAGCTGCCCAGTTCATAACCTGCAGCAAGAAGGTCAAATGATTGCTGAAATTACTTCTAATATCCTGGAGGGCTCACCAGCTTTGATTATTTTTTTTAATTGAAAAAAAAATATGTGTGTGTGTGTGTGTGTGTGTGTGTAGGGGGAAATGTCCATGTGGTCTGGTAGTTGGGGGAACCAGATCTCACATAGTCAACCTTGGGGTTTGAATTCAGGTCCTGGTGGCTTGGGAAGACTGCTGGGTCCATGTGAGTGCCCAGAATTCTGACAGGATGAAGAAATAAAGGAGAAAGATTGTGGCATGACCATGCCCCATTGGGGGAGCCTCCTCCCTCTGTTTCTCTGGAAAGTTCATGCATCCTCTAGCAATTAAAAAGAAAGTTTTTAATGGACGAGCAAGAAATTGTGGGCTTAGGGAGAAAGAAAGAGAGGTTTTTTTGGTTTTTTTTTTTGGCCAGAGGGTACATGTCATGTGCTTCCCAGAAAGAGGTAGATCCACAGAAAGCGAGGGAGAGAAATAAATACCCACAGTGGGGCAAGGTCACACCGAAACCCCTCCTCCAACATCCCTCCATCCTGGCAGGATTAAGCATGCACACATATGTATTCAGCATGTTTTTCTTTTCTTTCTTGCTATAGGGTACATGTGCTTGCCAGAGAGACAGACAGAAAGCAAGAAATCACCTCCCAGGGGGGATGGCCATGCCACAGTCCCTTCTCCTCCATTGTCCTCTCCAGATTTTGGGCACACATATACATGTGCCCAGCATGAGTTTCAAGTCACCATGTCCTGGACTTGAACCATGGTCGACTCTGGGGGTCCAGCAACGTAACCACTACACCATCTGCTGGTCCCCACCCAGCATGTTTTTCAAGCCACCAGGATTTGAACCACAGTTGACCAAGTGAGATCCTGGGGCCAGCCAACCAGCTTCAACTTTAGCCCAAGGAACCATTGCAAGATTGTAATCAGGTCTGTATTGATCAGATCAGTACTTTGGACAGCTCCCGCAGACCATGAGGACGCGGCCGTTCTAGTTATTGATCACTGCATAACGAGGTATCCAAATGTAGTTGTGTAAAACAACCTTCGTTATGCTCAGAGCATTGATGTGTCAAGGGGTTTAGGCAGGACAGAGAGGATGGCTTGTCTCTTCTCTAGGCCGGGGCCTCAGCTAGCAGGCTCAAGGGCTGGGGACTGGAATAATGTGAAAGCTCATTCTTGCCAGCTGTTGGCTGAGGCTGTCCCTCACAGCCTGGTGGCAAACAGCCAGACAGATAGCCACCACGTCACATTGTACACCTAGCCTGGGTGCCACAGCATCATGGCTGCATATTCTGTGTACGAGGGAAGTCCTAGCCTGCCCAGGTTTAGAGGAAAGGGGATAGACCACCTTTCTGTCTGTCTGTCTGTCTTCCTTTTTTGTTTTTAAGAGGCTTTTGCTACAGGGTGTGTGCACTCGCCAGACAGACAGAGAGACAGAAAGCGAGAAATCACCCCCCCAGGGGGGATGGTCACGCCGCAATCCCTTCTCCTCCATTCTCCTCTCGGGATCCTGGGCATGCACGCACACGCACCCGGCGTGAGTTTTAAGTCACCGGGTCCGGGACACGAACCGCGGTCGACTACGTGGGAGTCCAGCGACATAGCCATTACGCTAACTGCTGGTCCCCCATTTTTTTTTTTTTTTTTAGATTTTTTTTTTTTTTTGAGAGGTTTTCACTGTAGGGTGCGTGCGCTCGCCAGACCGACAGAGAGAGACATAGAGACAGAAAGCGAGAAATCCCCCCCCCAGGGGGGATGGTCACGCCGCAATCCCTTCTCCTCCATTCTCCTCTCGGGATCCTGGGCATGCACGCACACGCACCCGGCGTGAGTTTTAAGTCACCGGGTCCGGGACACGAACCGCGGTCGACTACGTGGGAGTCCAGCGACATAGCCATTACGCTAACTGCTGGTTCCCTCCCCCATTTTTTTTTTAAAGAGAGATTTTTGCTATAGGGCATGTGTGCTCTTCAGAGAGACAGAGAGAGTCCTAGAGTCTACCCTCCATTTTTAAAAAATTGTTTAAGAGGCTACCTGTGGTTGTCAGGGAGACAGAGAGAGAGAGGGAGAAAGAAAGCACCCCAGTGGACTGTGGTCACACCACAATCCCTTCTCCTCCCTTTTTCTATCTGGTTGGGATTTGGGGCACGCACATGCAAACGCCCAGCATGTTTTTTTGTTTTTTTTTTTTAATAATTATTTCATTTAACTTTATTTATTTGTTTATTTTATTTATATTTGACCAGAGAGGGACAGAGTGTGTGAGAGAGAGGGAAAGTGAGAAAGCAAGCTGCCAGGCCCAGGACTCAAACCATGGTTGGCCATCTGAGATCTAGCTCTCCTAACTAGGCTATGGGACTGGTCCATACCATTGAGTTCTAAAGTCCAAACCAACTCATCTACTCTTGGACTTCTCATTATGTGAGAAAAAGCCGCGTCTTGTTTAAGCCGATGCTATTTGGTTTTCTGTCACATGCAGCCGAGCTAAAGCACACCGGGGACAGTAAGAGTCAGCTGTGCATGTCCCGGGGCCAGGACAATGGCTTCTCAAATCTCTGACTGCAGGGAGCAGAACGAACCAGGAGCTCCAGCGGCTAACTCAGAATTCCATCACTGCGTCTGCACCAAGGCCGAACTTCCAGGACTGCTCCTTGCAAAGGGCTGAGTGGGATGGGGTTTGAGGCAGGCCCTCTCTTGAGAGATGGATGGGAGATGGAGGACCCCCAATGGCTTTGCTGACCTTTCCATAGAACTGCATTGAAGTCTGGGGCTAGCTACGTGGCCTGGTGGTTAAAGCAGTCAGATCTCGTGTGGTCAACCTGTGTTTTGATTCCTGATCTGGTGGTTTGGGGGGGAAATAAATGCTGTTCTTGGAGAGAAAATTGGAGGCCGGGGCCTAAGCAGTGGTGTGCAAGAAGCAGCTCGCAGTGGGTTCACCGAGCCAAGTGTGTTGGAGACCACCCTGTGTGTCGACGACCCAAATCTGCTGGAGAACTGGGTCCTCGAGTACCGGAGACGGCATTCTCCTGTAGCCCGTGCCCCGGGGAAGTGGCCGAGTCCCACCAAGTTAATGTGTCCGGCATGAAAGCTCTTGCACATCATGCTTTGTGTTTCCAGGCACGTCTTTAACTCTCTCTTACAGATGTTCCTGGCTGTGGAGAAAACCTGGTCATCCTTTCCTGCCCACTGGACATTTACGGAATTTTCCATCATAAATAGGTACAGTAAAGCTTGCTGACAGAAGGTCACCTCTTTACTCCAAAGTACATACTGTTCATAATCTGACCTTCCACCCCATAAATGCAGAGCAGAGGAGAAGGCCGCGATGGAGCTCTGTCGAATCCCCAGCCCCCATGCCGGATTTACTTAGACGACGAGCCTTTCAACACGTGCTCCGCTCCGAGTCCGCGGCACGCGTGTTCAACCCTTCATTTTGTGAGGTGGTTGTCGACTACAAGCATTACTGCAATTTTAATGATATAAACACAATTAAATACAGTGTAGAAAAACAGGTCAGGGATGTGCAAGACCCGTCACTTCTAATGACTTCCCTCCATGTATAATTGTGTATTGGACAAATGGTGGGGCGGTGAAGGCAGCTGGATCCCACATGGCTGACTCTGCAGTTCAAGTTCCTGATCCAGTGCCTTGAAAATCGTGTCAGGCATGTGTGTGTCTGTGCCCAAAATCCCAAGAGGAGAATGGAGGAGAAGGGACTGTGATGAGGCCATCCCCTACAGGGGTGATTTCTCACTTTGTCTCTCTCTCTCTCCAGCAAGCACATGTCCCCTGTAGTAGAAACTAAGACAGAAAAAAGGAAAAGAATTTAAAGTATTTATTTTATTTGTTGTTGTTATTATTATTATTATTATTTTAATTTGCTAAAGAAAGAGAGAGAGAGAAAACAAGCCGCCAGGTCCAGGACTTGAACTGCAGTCAACCATGTGGGAGTCCAGCGTCTTAACCACCACACTGTAGGCTGGCCCCCTAAAATGAAGATTTGTATTTGTTTTTGTGATGACAGTTGAGAGGGAGAGGGAGAGGGAGAAGGACGTGCATGCTATCTTCATGTCTCGTCCCACCCTCCTCCCCCGCCAGTCCAGCTCACAGGCAATCACCAGCGTGTCTGTGCCCAGCAAGCTCGTGAGCACCCAGCATGCACGTGTGTGCCCAGCAAGCAGTGCAGTGCCCAACAAGCATGTGCAAACCTGTGTGCCAGCAAGCACGGGAACCGCCAGCAAGCACTGTGCCCCAGCATGCACGTGTGCCAGATCAGCAAGCAGGTTGGGGTTTACAAAACACTTGAGTGCCCAGGAAGCAGCACGCCCAACAAGCACGTGAGTGGGGAGCATGCACCTGTGCCCCCAGCAAGTAGCATGTGCCCAATAAACATGTGACCCCCAGCAAGCAGTGGGCGCCCAACAAGCACGTGAGCGTCGAACCACCTGTGCCCCCAGCAACGTACACCCCGAGCAAACAGCACGTGCCCAACAGACACGTGAGCACTCAGCAACACGTGAACCCCCAGCAAGCAGTGGGCGCCCAACAAGTACGTGAGCGCTGAACCACCTGTGCCCCCAGCAACGTGCACCCCCAGCAACCAACACCTGCCTGACAGCGTCCAGCAACACGTGAACTGCCAGCAAGCTTTGTGGGCCCAACAGGCAAGTGAGCAGCAAGCATGCACCTGCGTGCCCAGCAACGTGCCCTCCAGCAAGCGTGCACCCAGCAAGCACATGCATCCCCAGCATGGTGCCCAACAAACACGTGAGCACCCAGCAATCACATGAACTCCCAGCAAGTAGTGCAGGCCCAACAAGCACATGAGCAGTGAGCATGCATCTGTGTGTCCAGAAACCATGCCCCCAGCAAGCACCTGCACTTCCAGAAAGCACATGAACCCCCAGCAAGCGGTGCAAGCCCAGCAAGAACGTACATCTGCACCCCAGCAATGTGCACCCCCAGCAAGACGCCCTCGCCCAACCAGCACATGGGCACCCAGCAAGCGGTGCAAGCCCAGCATACTCGTGTACCCAGCAAGCACAGCCCTCAGCAAGCAGAGCACACCCAGCAAATAGTAGGTGGCCAGCATGTGAACGCCCAGTATACACATGTATCCAACAAGCACAGTGGCAGCCTGGCAGCATGTAGGTGCCTCTCAAGAACCTGCACACCTATGGGCATAAGCACCTGTGCCCAGTATACACGTGCTCAGCCAACAAGTGTGTAGGCCCCCACCAAGCATCTGAGCACCCAGCAAACAGCTTAGTGCCCAGCAAGTACGTGCACCCAGCATGCACCTGCCTTCCCAGCAAGCACATGTACCTGGAATGCACATGCACCCCAGTATGCACATGCACCCCAGCAAGCACGCAGGTGCCCACTGTGCACGTGCAGGCCCAGCAAGCAGGTGCATATGTGTCCAGCACGTGGCCCAGTAGGACCCCACCCAGCAAACACCCGAGTGGCAAGCAAGTAGGTACTCGCCCAGCAAGCTTGTGCATACCTAGCACACACATGAGCACCCAGCATGCAGGGCTCCCTGTGAGCAGTGCATGCCCTTCACATGCTTGCCTAGCCAGTGTGTGCCTGTGCGCATGATCATTCCGCGGGTGGGGGGGTGATTCTCACTTTCCCTTTCTCTGTGTCTCTCCTGCAGAGCACACTTGCCCGTAGTAAAACATTTTAAAAAAAGGAAAAAGGAAGGAGGTAAAACGGAACTTGAATTCTTAGAGCTGCAAGCAGTCTGCATGGCTGGAGTGCCCGGGGAGGGGTACAAAAGGCAATGCTGGCCAAGGCCCACCCTCACACACCTGTGCTCCCAACGAGCATGCGCGGGCCCAGGTAGAACTAGGGACTTGCACATCGGACCCTCGGCATTGCGGAGTGTTGAGTCGTGGCAGTGCCCCCATCGGACCCTCGGCATTGCAGAGTGTTGAGTCGTGGCAGTGCCCCCACACTGCCCTGCTACATTTTAGTGTTTATGCTCCTGGAGTTAGTTATGTTTCTCTGGGGGATTATAATACATAATGGTGTGCTGTGGTGTCTCTGCCCAGCTCTGCCTGCAGCGACTGACTAACTGGAAATCAGCCTTGGTGGAAGTGCAGTATTTACACCAAGGAAATGAACAAACACTCCAACTCAGAGACTGATTTATTGTTTTGCAAATGATCTACATTCATCAAATGGAATTGTGGGTTTGCTACAGCTACAGGAGTCTAGCAAAAACCCAATGAAAGCATTCTCTGAGACTCAATCAGCTCTTTGGAATTTATAACAGAATACGGCATACCACAAGTAAGTTGTGTGTTCGCGTATAATAGTGTTTATGATGAATACACGTGTGCCCACGTTCTAGCTGTCCAATTTCCCCTGGAGAGCGGTTACTAAACATTTACCAACATGTTACTCGGCCAACGTCCCCTTTCCCTGACACTGACTCTGTAGTGATGGTAAGGAAAATGGCAGTGGGCCTGACTCTCGCTCCTGCCCCCAAAATCTAGTCTCCTAGGGAGTCGGGGACAGCAGTGGGCGGCAGGGAAGGAAGGAGCTGAGACCAAGGAGAGGCATCTGACCAGCGCAGGAGGGTGCTGGAGCGAGGGGAGCTGGCATGGTCATGCAAAGAGTGAACAGGTCTCAGCCGGCCAGGGGAAAGCTGCATGCAAAGGCCCAGCTGTTGTCAGAAACAAGGGCTGGGAGACAGGAGGGACTGGTGGGACAGAGGACTGTGGCTGGGCTGCTGCTCCCGGCCTGCGGTACCCACAAGGTGGAGAAAGAGCAGCCTTATCCTAAGAGGGTCTTCTGGAGCTGGCCAGGTAGCACTGTGAAAGGCGGCTGAACCCCACATGGCTGACTGGTTTGTGTCCCAGACCCTGTGTCTTGAGAAGTGTGCCAGGCGTGTGTGCGCATCTACCCAAAAGCTTAGAAGGGAGACGGAGGAGAAGGGATTGTGGCATGGCCGTTCCCCATGGGGCTGCTTCCTCACTTTCCTTCTCTCTCTTTCTGTTTTTTTTTTTAAGAAAAGGGGGGCCTTCTGGACCCTAGTCCTAAGAAGAGTAAGAATTTCTGGGCAGAAGGAACATGCAGAAGCAAGGAGGTACTGGCCAGCCTGGGGCACGGTGGTTTGGATCCCACGTGGCCAACCGAGCAGTTTGAGTCCAGACATGGAGGCTTGAAACCCACACCAGGTGCGTGTGCCTGTGCGCATGATCATTCCGCGGGTGGGGGGGGTGATTCTCACTTTCCCTTTCTCTGTGTCTCTCCTGCAGAGCACACTTGCCCGTAGTAAAACATTTTAAAAAAAGGAAAAAGGAAGGAGGTAAAACGGAACTTGAATTCTTAGAGCTGCAAGCAGTCTGCATGGCTGGAGTGCCCGGGGAGGGGTACAAAAGGCAATGCTGGCCAAGGCCCACCCTCACACACCTGTGCTCCCAACGAGCATGCGCGGGCCCAGGTAGAACTAGGGACTTGCACATCGGACCCTCGGCATTGCGGAGTGTTGAGTCGTGGCAGTGCCCCCATCGGACCCTCGGCATTGCAGAGTGTTGAGTTGCTCCCGGCCTGCGGTACCCACAAGGTGGAGAAAGAGCAGCCTTATCCTAAGAGGGTCTTCTGGAGCTGGCCAGGTAGCACTGTGAAAGGCGGCTGAACCCCACATGGCTGACTGGTTTGTGTCCCAGACCCTGTGTCTTGAGAAGTGTGCCAGGCGTGTGTGCGCATCTACCCAAAAGCTTAGAAGGGAGACGGAGGAGAAGGGATTGTGGCATGGCCGTTCCCCATGGGGCTGCTTCCTCACTTTCCTTCTCTCTCTTTCTGTTTTTTTTTTTAAGAAAAGGGGGGCCTTCTGGACCCTAGTCCTAAGAAGAGTAAGAATTTCTGGGCAGAAGGAACATGCAGAAGCAAGGAGGTACTGGCCAGCCTGGGGCACGGTGGTTTGGATCCCACGTGGCCAACCGAGCAGTTTGAGTCCAGACATGGAGGCTTGAAACCCACACCAGGTGCGTGTGCCTGTGCGCATGATCATTCCGCGGGTGGGGGGGGGGATTCTCACTTTCCCTTTCTCTGTGTCTCTCCTGCAGAGCACACTTGCCCGTAGTAAAACATTTTAAAAAAAGGAAAAAGGAAGGAGGTAAAACGGAACTTGAATTCTTAGAGCTGCAAGCAGTCTGCATGGCTGGAGTGCCCGGGGAGGGGTACAAAAGGCAATGCTGGCCAAGGCTCAGGACTGAGAGCAGCCGAGGACAGGGTGTGACCACAGGAGCTAGGGGAGCCTGGGGAGGGACCTAAGTAGGGGAGAGGCGGCAGGACTGAGCCCCTGAGGCTGCTTGAAGGACAATGGTGTGGGCGAAGAGGTGGAGTGGGGGGAGGCGGCCTAAGGGATCGGTGAGGGGCGAGGGGTGGGAGAGGGCAAGTGAAGGTGCAAGAGGAAGGATTTATTGAAGACGTGGGGCTGTGGAACTGACGGGACTTAACTTCCAAGAGTTTGGTTTGGCAATTGAGGGCTGATATGGTCATTAAAAAAAATAGTGGCTATGGCTGGCAGGTGGCATGGTGATTAAGGCTTTGGACATACACGTGGCTGACCTCGGTTTGAGTCCCGAACCTGCCACCTTGCCTTATCACTTGCTCGCTGTCTCTCTCTCCCTCTCTCTGTCTTTCCCTGGTCAAAATAGAAAATAATAATAATACATACAATTAAATAAAATCATTCTTTTAAAAAAATAGTGGTCAGTTATTTTGTAGAATGTCCCTCAATTCGGGTGGTCTCCTGCCTCTCATGTCTACATTGTGGTTTGTGTTATTTGGCGAGACTGTCGCAGCAGCTGCAAACCACATCACAAGGTACGTGATACGACGTGCCTTCTGTGTTAAAAGAATGATCTAATTTCATTGATTATTATTATTTTAAATATTTGACCAGAGACAGAAAAGAGGGAAAGTGAGAAAGCAGGTTGCCAAGTCAAGAACTCAAACCATGCTCAGCCTTGTGGGAGTCTAGTGTCTTAACCTCCCCACCACCTGCCGGCCCCTGAACTATTTTTTTTAATAATTGTTTATTTAATTTTATTTATTCATTCATTTACTTCAATTTGACTAGAGAGAGACAGAGAGAGGGGGAAAGCGAGAAAGCAAGCCACCAGGTCTGGGACTAGAACTGTGGCCAGCCATGTGGGAGTGTCCAGCACCTTAACCATCATGCCACCTGCTGGTCCCGTCTGGATGGGTCTTAGGATCTGTTTACAGGCAGAGTCAGACAGGGAAGTAAAATCATAGGGAAGACCCAGGGTTCAGTTTGAGATGAGGCTGGGGTGCAGAAGACAATCCAGACAGAACGCTGCAAGCCAGAGGTAGCTGAGGACTTGGGAGAGAGCGAGGCTGCGGGGCAGAGGTCAGGCTGAGAAGGCAGGGAGGCGGCTCCGCAGTCACTGCAGGGGTCACCGTCTCGCCGGACGTGGCCAGCGTTCACGGCCAGTGCTCAGAGCGCAAGGTGCGGGCCGGGACTCAGGGTGGGCATTTTTTTCTCTCTGGGCAGTTAGGGCAGCCCTGGATTGGCTTGCTGGATGCATGCTCCTGCTGTCACTCCACGAGTGCGCAGTGGCCAGTGTTCGGGAGTCCCGTTGGGAGCAGCTGGTTAAAGCGCGGGAGACGCGGGGCCGCAGAGAGGCAGGGCGGCAAGTGCTGGTCTCGCAGGCGTGGCTGCCCCCAAGTGGTCTGCTGGGGACACTGCGGGTAGAAGGGCCGGGGATGGGGGGGCGGTGGGGCACTGACTGGCAGAAGCGGGGAGGTGGGGAAATGTCCTTCCTCCCTCTGCTCAAGCTGCCCCATGGCCCCCCATGTTAAATTTTATGATGATACTTCACTGAGTTATAGTTTACGTACAATAAAATGCACGTCTTAAGTTTTCATCACCCCAGAAATGTCCTTTCCTTTCCTTTCTTACCCATTCTTTTTTTTGTAGAGAGGTTTTTCTTTTTGCTATAGGGTGCGTGTGCTGGTCAGAGAGACAGAAAGAGAGAGACAGAAAGCACCCCCAAAGGGATGGCCACACTGCATCCCCTTCTCCTCCATTCTCCTTTTGGGATTTTGAGCACTCATGCACATGTGCCTGGTGTTTTTCTCAAGCCCTGGGTCTGGGACTTAAACCATGCTATGATTTTCAAGCCACCAGGTCCATGAAGACTTGAACTGCTCAATTAACCATGTGGGAATCCACTGCCTTAACCACCAGGCCACCTGCTGGCCTCTTGGTCCATATTGTCTTTTCTTTCTTTTTTTGGTATTTATTTATTGGTCCATATTCTTTTATTTTTTTATTTGCTATAGGGCGTGTTTACTCACTGTGGGAGGAGAGAGAAAGCGGGACAGCACCTCTCGGTGGGGACAACCACCCCACCATCCCTTCTTCTGGCTGGCCCCGGTCCCATTCTCAATCACTGCACCAGCCCGCTTCTCACAGAGGATCAGCAATGCCTGTGTAACAAAGCTTCTTTAAATGACTGGACTACTGGAGCAGCAGGTGGCACGGAGGTTAAGGCTGCTGGATCCAACATGGCCAGCTCTGTGGTTGGAGGCCTGGGCCTGGCAGCTTGAAAACACTCTAGGTACATGCCCCAAAATTCTGAGGAGAATGAAGACAAGGTCACGGTGTGGCCATTCCTCTTGTGGGGTGATTTCTCACTTTCCCTCTCTCTCTCTGGTGAGTGCCTGCTCCCTATAGCAAGCTAAAGAGAGAGAGAGAGAGACTGCCACTCCTCTGCTGACAGTGTGGCTTCCTTTTATGTCCTAAATATGAAGGGGCAACCCACTGGGACAGAGCAGGCTCTGACTCAGGACCTGGGCACTCTTTCTTCCTTAGTTCTCTAAGTAGGAGGCTCTTCCGGTTCTCTTGATGGTGAAAGGGGTCTGAGATCAGCAGACAGAGTCCCAGCATCCCTCCCCAGAACTCACATGAGCCATAAACCACCTCCTGTGAATTCCAAGTGGATCGCAGACAGCTCCCTATAGACCTCAGTGTGGCCCTCAGACCCCTCTCCTGAAGCCCTCAGGGACCCTCACCTCTTTCCTAAGACCCGCAGAGACTCCCAACACACTTCTCTTGGGAGCCCTGCACGACAAACCTGCCAGTTCCCATCTTTCATCTCACTGGCTCCTCCCCGCAGCTCTGCGAATCAGCCTGTGTTTGCATGACAGTGGGGACAGCAAGCTGTGACCACATGGGTGAACCAGGGACGGGACCAACAGAGACCCCATAGCCCAGGACGCTTCCTGGTTGGCCTGGTGGCTAAATTCCACTTCCTGCTCTGCCCTCCCCAGCCCCCAGGCACCCTTCCTTGGGCCCTCTTCTCCATAGTTTTCTCTTTTGGCCCTGCCTCTCTTCACTGCTTTCCATCCCAGCTGTGGGGATGAGGCCTCACTCCTGCAGGCTGGAGCCAGACAAAGGGCCCTTATTCTCAAGGAAGAATCCCTGCAGTGTCTGGCACTCACTGAGGCCCCCTTCTCCCCTTCTCGCCCAGGATGGCGTGGGTGGGGGTGGGGGCGGCGCTGGGGGAGCAGCAGTCGGCTGGCCCTCGTGCAGAGAGCCCACAGGAGGTTTGCCATGTCAACACCACTCACAGAAGAAGCCTGTCTTTCACTCCCGGCCCCATCTCTCCAAGCGGGTCCCTGCACGCTCCGGAGTCCTGGGCTTTTGAACGTTGGTGCTGGCTCTGCTCCTGTCTGTGCCCTTCTCTGCACTTCACGGGCTCCGTCCTTCTTTTGCCTGTGTCCGTGTCTTTTTCCAAGCCCCCTGCGCCCTCGTGCAGTGTGTCTGTCCCTGTTTCTCATCCTTCTCACTGCACTATGCCCCCTCTCTTCTTCTCTTTTCATGTCTTCTCACCATTTTGATCTCTGCATGTCTCAGTGTCTCTGTCTCTGTATGTTTGTATGACTCTGCTCCTGGCTCATTTCTCGTTTTTCTTTCCTCCTTCCTTCCTTCCTTCCTCCCTCCCTCCCTCCCTCCCTCCCTTCCTTCCTTCCTTTCTTTCTCTCTCTCTCTGCAATCCCTTCTCCTCCACTTCCCTCTAGGGATTTTGGGCACACACCCACAGGTGCCTAGCGTTTTTCTCAAGACCTGGGTTGGGGACTGGAACCATGGTGTAGCCATGCGGGATGCTGGTGCCTTCGCCAACATGGCACCGCTGGCCCTCTC